GGCTAGGCCTGTCCATCCGGGCCGGCCCGGCCCAGAAATCTGGGCCCGGGCCGGGCAAAACCGGGACCCGGACCCGGGTACACCGGGCCGGGTCCGGGCCCGGGCCCGACCGGGTGATTTTCCTTTTTTTTATTTTTTTTTATTTTTTTCCAAAATTTTTTAATGTTATTTAACTTATAAATTATAAAAAAAAGACAAGAAAAATAACAAAAACAATAATTTTATTAATTACTTAAAATGACATAAATTACAAATAAGAAATGATAAAAACATATTCTTTATTAATAATTGATAAATCAGTTACAAATTACAAGTACAAATTTATTTTGGAATTAATCGCATCACAATAGATAAGTAAATCCCAACTAGGTTGGCACCTACTCACCTATATCACTATCATTTGCAATTATTTCCAAAATAATTCTTTACAAATTGTAAGCTAAGATATAAAAACTACAATCTATTCTTTATATCTATCTGCTAGTCCCAATTCTTCAAATTTATCTTCAATTCCAGCCATCCGATCGATGCCTTGCGTTCGCTTCTCGTACCTCCACCAATCTTGTAGGCACATCACCGCTTGTACAGTATATGGATCCAAGCATGTCCTGTGATCGTCGATCAAACGACCTGCTGTGCTGAAGGCGGATTCCGAAGCTACCGTCGAAACCTGCACTGTTAGTAAGTCACGAACCATGGTGGAAAGTATAGGATATGAAACTGATCCATATACTTTCCACCATTGCAAAATATCTAAAGCATTTCCTTGACATCTAACTAAAGAAGCAGAAAAATATTCATCTATTTCAGAAACCTCCGATGATGACGATCCAAGTCCAGATCCACCAGTTAGCTCGGCTACCATTGCATACCTATCAAAACTTACACTTTTACCTCGGGCTCGGGATGAGCTCGAAGAAACCGAAGCTGCAGACTGTTGTGCAGCTACACCATGTCTAGCTGCATACTCATCATATAAAGTTTGAAAATAATTTCTAATAAGTAAATGATGAGTAGTAGCATTCAGGGTGGTTCCATCATCTAAGTCTATAACCTGTCCACCATACAATGACTGTAACAAACTTCGAAGGCCAATATCCTTCAAGCATGGATCAATAAGAACCCTCAAACCAAAAATATGAGGAATAGGCCTAAAATACTTATTAAATTTGCTCTCCATTTCAAAAACCATAGGTCCAAAAGTAGCATCCAAACGATATTTATCAAAAATTTTTTGAATATTTAAAATTTGTAAAGCAGCTAAAGTAATGGTTGGATAATAACAGCCAGATAATAACATGGTAGCATCATAAAAAACTTGTAACATTTCATTTAAATTACATATAACTGTCCATTCATCTTCAGTTATTCCATAAGTGCTACCAGAACTAGAACTAGAAGCATAATAGTTTATAAAATCAGTTATAATGTCTTTATATTCTATTGCTACACTTAACATTGCATATGTGGAATTCCACCTATGGTCAACATCTTTTGGAATTAGTCTAGGCTTTACATTTTTTCTTTTACAAAATTGTTTCCATCTTTTAAGTCTTTGTTCAGAAGCACTATGCATGTAAGCAACTGTTCTAACCTTTTCTATCATGGGTTTAATTTCAGTAAATGCACTTTGAACAATTAAATTTAAAATATGACAGATGCACCTAATATGAAAAAGATCACCATGACATGGCAATGATAAAGATGATCTGATAAAATCAACAGCTACATTGTTATTACTTGCATTATCTAGTGAAAGAGAAAATATTCTTTGTGAAATTTCTAATTTCATAAGTTCTTCAATTATTAAATTTGCAACATTAGCACCAGTATGTGACTCTTCTATTGCAATAAAAGAAACAACTCTTTTAAACATTTGCCAATTTTCATCAATCCAGTGTGCTGTGATACATAAATATCCAGTTTGTGCTCTAGATGTCCAAATATCAGAAGTTAAAGAAAATTTACAGTTTAAATTTTTAAAATAAGAAATTATTTTTTCTTGTTCCTCCTAATAATATTTTAAAATATCACGTTGATAGGTTTGACGAGAAAATTTTTTAAATGCAGGATAAAAACCATCTCTAAACATATCTTCAAATTCATCATCTTCTACTAATTTAAAAGGAAGGTTTTTAAGAATGATAAACCTGATTACGCATTTCCTGGCTCTGGCAGCGTCATAGTTCCAACTACCGAGACTACCAGAAGAGGAGGATTGAGAAATCATAGATTGTCGGATATCACCTTGAGGAGTCTGGCCTTTGTTGTGTTTATCTAAATGGCGTTTGAGGTGGTTGGTGCCGCTCTTATGATGAGCTTGAAAAATCTTGCCGCACAAAGCACACTTAGCCTTCTGGGTGAGGATCCTACCGTGTTCATCCTTGGTGACGTCGATCTTCTCGTAAAAATTCCACACATCGGATCTTGGCCGTTTAGGAGCTCTTGGTGCAGATTCGTCGCCACCGGATTCGAGATTAACTTCGGTAGGAGGACTCATAGTAGGAGGACTCATAGTAGGACTCAATTCAGGATCGGGAGATATGTTTTGCTCTTCATAATCAGATCCGGAAGCCATTTGGGGATTGGATTAGAAAGTATAAATAAGAGAGTATAAGAGTATAAGAGAGAGTATAAGAGTATAAGAGAGAAGAGATGAGTTTTTGGTGTGAAGAAAACAAATGAAAATCCCCCTCTATTTATAGAACCAACCCCCTAGGCAAATGACCAAAATAACCTCACAAAATAGTCGTTTTTTGACCGTTTTTGGGGGCAAAACGGTCAAAAGGCCAAATCTGGCCGTTGTGGCCGGCCCGGGCCGGGCCAGCCCGGCCCGGCCCTTTGGTGACCGTTGTGGCCGGCCCGGCCTAATTCCGGCAACGGTCACCACTGGTGACCGTTGCCACCCGGGCCGGGCTCCGGTCCCGGGCTGCCCGGCCCGGGCGTTGACCCGGCGGCGCACTGTACCGGGCCGGGCCGGGCCCGGGCCGGGCGCCGCTGAGGCAACCCGGACCCGGGCCCGGAACCCGGCCTGGCCCGGATTTCCGGGCCGAGGCCGGGCCGGGCCGGGCTCTGGGCCGGGCCCGGGCCAGCGGGTTAAATGGACAGCCCTAGATCTCTCCAAACAATAACAATGTTTAAACTTAAAACACTGTTCAATCTCTCTCTTAATCACTCAAATTCCCCCTTTTAAATACACCAAACCCCTTTCCCCAAATCAATGAGAACAGGACAAATGGGGAACTTCACAGATCGCAGAGAACGGGAAAGAGCCGCCGCCACTTCTTTTTCTATGCTCTCGCTCTGCTCGCTCCTGCTCGCCTACAGGCCAGTTCAATCTCGCCTCCACACCTTCACCTACCGGCGCTGCTCGATCCTCGCCTCCACGTCTTCGAATCGAGGTCAGTTCTTCAAAATTATGTTTGTTTCTCTGTAAAAACTTCTTCCGTTACTTCTTTAAAAGCTGATGTGGCATCTAGCTGACACCTATATTTCCTTGATATTTTTCCGCATTCGAATACACAGAAATACGGCGGAAGTTGATGTAAGATGGGGTCCACAAGTAAAAATGGTGGGGTCCACAAAAAAAGTTTGATTCTCAAAATCAATTACTTCCTAGTAATATTTTCAAATATTATCCAAACAAGAATAGAATGGAAACAATATGTATTAATTACTTTCTAGTAATATTTTTAAATATTATCCAAACAAAAAAAAAGTAAACGAAGAGGAAAAAGTTCTACTTCCATTACTTCAAAAAATATATGAAACAAAAAAAATGTTATTTCCATTACTTCCTACTTTATAGTTTTGAAAGTTACTTCTATAACCTAATTCTTACTTTCAATACTTTCATTATCTAAACAGGCAATTACAAAAATAAATAAATATATGGATAAAAATATCTTGCTAATGTAATAAAACATCAAGTCGGATCCTGATCATCTCCTAATGAAAAGCTCCTAATAAGAACATCCTATCCTTTCATTTTCATCATAGCCTTTTATTTCCCCACCCATTCTTGTGGGCCTCATTCCCAACTCTTCACATCAAAGACTAACCCCTCCTCTAGGGGCTGGGTGTGGGTTTAGGTTGGGAGTCTTTTTAGAGACACGAGTCCCCTCCACAGCACGAGTGAGAGCCGCTGGCGACTGTCGCTGGATTTCATGGAGAGAGAAAACTTGCGAGCGGGGCTTTTTATTCTTTTTCCCGTCGTTTCATACGAAAAATACAAAAGGGGGAGTGCTGGCGTGGGGGGGCCCACCGTTTTCCATCCTCTCCCCCCTCGTGTGT